ACTGTGTCAACTATTAAAGCGTCAAATAATGTGGGCTATATCGTGATTTCAACACACAGATCGACTTAGAATTGACGAATATTTAGAGGTGTTACAAACGGAATGACAAATTTAATATAACCTCCGTTCCAAGGTGGTGTGTATAAAAACCACTTACATTGACTGCTACAGGACGTATAGAGGGATAGCCGTTCATTTTTTTTACATTATATGCATTTGAAAAAATTCCTCATTTTTCCCACACTTCTACCCCACTATGTCCATGCATGTAATCCCTTATTTAAAAACGCGACGACGGAAGGTGTTATATACGCTTACATTTGTTGGCCCAATTTCTGACCATAAGGGTCATGCATGCACACCCATGCATGTGTGTGAAAAAAAATTTTGACTAACCATACCGGCCAACATAAACTGGAGTAAATAAGTAAATGTAACTCTAATGGCATGACATGGAGGTTCCTTTTAGAACAGCCCACCAACCTATGCTTTTGATGAACATTTTGGTTGTTTGATTAATTGCTTTTAAATTAGTCTTTGGTTTGGGTAGAGTGTGGCTTCAAAGTGTCATATGTATGCTTGCTTGTTTGTTGACTGGATTTGTGTGAACAAACTCGAAATTCCAATCGGCTCTTAACAAATATTAGCTTCTTCTTCTTGTACTAGTGTCCTATGGTTGAGTTTATAACAGTTGCCATGGTGTCTATAAACTGTTATTGACTTATGTTAATTTGATTGATTTCAGCTTGTTGTTGTTCTTCGACAATATAAATTTATGTTATGGGAATATTATTTTTCAAAATCTTTAAGACGGTGTCTTCTTTCTTAAACGGGAATATCCATCAAATCTAAAAATACTCCAAATCATGAAAAATGTTTTGTAAAACTGCTGGTTTAATTTGTGTAGCCGCTTCTGCTCTTGTTCGGTTATTCCCAGTGGGCATATTGTAAAACAGTGTTCCTACTAATTTCTGTACGCTACAAATTGCTTGGGTCAATGTATCAAGCAAACGTATCAATGTTTAGTTGAATATGTTTTTGTTGTTGTGTTGGTATATTTTCTTTAATCGCAGTGATAGACATAATGTGTGCAATGTCCATAACAAAACAAGTGTCATGCTGTTTTACTTCATTAACTCAGATGTGTAGGTCAGTTAGGGCAAACCTTGTGTTTAAAGGGGGCCATAATAGAGTTATATATTTCGTGGCTTATATAATATATTTAAAATAAATTCGTTTTTTAATAGAACTATAATAAGACATAAATATATACATTTATTTATCAAAATATTGGCAAAAATTTAGTATTTATATAAATACCCAATTACGAGTTCTGAAAACATATCTTAGTTTTCCAGAATTATAAAAACTAAAACTATTATCCCGTGAGTTATGAAAACCAAGATAGTTTTTGTTGAAAATATTCTTGTACAAATTACATATCTCGGAAAGCTATTGACTTTTGAAACCTTATATCTTTGATGGTAGCCAATTGCTACTAAAATCGTTTAATATTTTAGGCGCCCCATTGTATATTTCAATGTGGTGGACATGGTATCAAAGTTTTAAAATAACTAATGACCATATTAAAATGAAATGTTGTCAATGTTAAGTTTTTGTTTTGTTGTGTTTTGCAAGTTGATATTTTTTTGATAACTACTAGACATAGACGTAGCAAAAAAAAAATATATAAAAACAAACAACAAGAAATATTGTAACAACATCTAAAACTGACAAGTGATTGCCGTTGGACCTGCAATGTTCCTTCTGTTCCTCTTCACCAGAAATATGATGAACAAGAAAATCTAAATTTCACATTGATGACACCGACCGAGTGACGGATGAGCCGTGTCATACGATGTTAATGTTGTGACATTTATCATTAGGCATAAGGCGCACACTTTAACTCGCACACCTAAAGAAACGAAAACAAAAACAACAACAAGCGAACAACCAACCGGTCAGTCACTCACTAACTCATTCCGTCAGTCAATCTTTTACCATACCAATTCCACACTGAAAGTTAGCTGGTGGATAGATGGTGCATCTGGAACTTGATTAAAGCATCACTTGTCTGATAATGATTGCTGATATTCTCTACTTCTTTGTCTTCTGCTTTGGGTGTTTTTTTTTCGGAATGTTTTTCATAACTCGTAACATTGAAATGTTTTGCATACACAGTGGGAAATGTTTCGTATTAAGAAGGTAAAAATATGTGGTCTACTTTAAATAATATCAATTTGGATTTATTGGCACCACATTTTTTTTTTTTTTATTTTGGACCTTTTTGGGTAAATTCATTTTTTGGAAAAACACATTCTTTGGAAAAGATATCTTATACATTTATGTCAAAGGATTCTTAAAATTTAAATAATATCAAGTATTGGAAGGAGGTAATACCAGTAGAAGATGGGAAAAATTGTATACTTACGCACCGTTCGCAGTGTAAACTACGCTCAAAAGTGTATCAATTACTGAGAAAGGTACTATAAATAGTGGAATGCATCTTCAAAATTGTGAACGTCGTTCCCACATGCTCCACATTTTTCCTCTCATTTTTTATTTTATGTATGTTCTATAATTCATCTGATTCGGACTGACATTTGGTGAAATCGGACTACACTACATATGGGAGCTATCCAAATCTGATCCGATTATCACCAATTTCAATAGCCTGTGTAAAATGAACTATAAATGTGACCTGCATTTTATTCACAAAATACCATGGACAGACAGACGGACGTACGGACGGGCGGGCTTGTTTCAAACAAATGTGTAAAAACATAAAACCAATTCAATTGCATGATGTATTTCTATTTCTTACGGCATATTTTTCTACAATTCATATAAACAAACGTGTTTCACCGACTTAGTCAGGGGGTGGACCCAGAGGTCCCGGAATTCTTCAGAATTAAATATTTTTACAGCACTATGCTTGAAAATCTCATTTTTGTACCCATCACCATAGTATTAAGATTGTCATTCCGTTTGTAATAGCTCGAAATATACATTTTAGACCCAACAAAGTATATATATTCTTGATCAGCATAAAATTCTAGCGACGTCCGTCCATCTGTGGAAATCACTCTAGCTTCCTAATGAAATGAAGTAGGTTGAAAAAATTTTATTCAAATTTGTATTATGTCAGCAGTACTTTTGGTATTTATAATGCAGGCCCACATTTTGCTATAGCCCCAATATAATGGTACCTCCCTATTTTCGGCATTTTGGTGATTTAAGCGACATTATACACCGGAATTCTTTCAAATTTGGTATTTAAAGTTCTTAAGACGAAAATTGTTTGTGCCGGTCCACGTCTTCGTATAGCCCCCCCACCCCCTATATAGCGATACCTCCCGAAATGCGGTATTTTGATGACTTTAGCTACATTGTTCACCGATTTTTTTTTTAATATTCGCATTTGAATATTGTAATGGCTTACAAATTGGTTCCAAATGGTGGAGGGTATTCAAAGTTCGGCACGGCCGAACTTAGAGCCTTTTATTTCTAGAATGTTAAGACTTTAGTAATCAGGTTTTTAATATTAAATTGCAGACACTTCGCTTAAAAATGGTTGGTGGTGAAATAATAAATTTGACCAATACAACTTATTAAAACATTGACCCATATTGTATCTTACCTTCCTGTTGAATAACCTATGTCAAAATGTGGACTTTAATGAAAAATATTTTGTAGAGAAAACTCCTAAGCGGTTGGATATTGCGATTGAAACTTGAAAATATCGAAAGTCAAGAAGTATTGTTATACGTGGCCCATACCTTACATTGAATTTATTGAAACTAATCCGATATACGATATTTTAGCTAAAATATTTGACAATTAATAAGCTCCTTTACATCGGATATATACCAAAAGGTATGTCGTTTGCTAAAGCTCTACATAACAATTGTTGACTCTATCTTATTTTAAACAAACTGGCATACAGAAGACGGGCTGACATTCTCTATATAGAATTTCACACTAATCAATGATGGCTACAATGTTTCAATTTTTTTTTTAGACACTGCCAATAAAATAAAAAACCCTATATACCCTTTCATCGAATTGTAGAGCGAATAACATACCAACTTTTCTCTACGTGTAATTTCTCAATCATTGACTGTCAAACAGATTAGGTGCCGGTAAATCAACTTGAAAGAGATTCTTATCTGATATTAAGGTTTGGAAATAAAGGCCGCATGCTAATGTACAACGATGTGGCGTGTGGTCCCACTTGTCAAATGTCATTTCATTTGTTTGGCTGTGTGTTCGTACCGTTGTTGAGGATAGGGTAGGGTCGGGTAAGAAAATGTAAAGTATGTATGTTATTATTACACGCTTTGTTACGCTGTGATTGCTACCGCCAATTAACAGCAACAAATTTAGCTCAACGAAATCAATGGCCAAGAAGTGGGCGGATGAATGAAAAGAATGTTTTCCGTTAGAGAGTACGATTTCATTGAATACTTTGGGGAATTCAACGATGAGAGGTGATAAGACCAGCTATAATTACTTTGAGAATTTCCTGTGACAGTTTCTTGACTTATTTTCTAAGTGTGTGTGTTTTGTTTTGTACTGATTGAGTGGTGTTTTCATTAATAGAGACATTTATGTCAATATTTTTAAATTCACTTTCTGGCTTTTCGGCAACGATTCGATTTGGTAGTCATAATAATTTTGAGTAAAGACAACAAATCGAAAATGTTGGAAAAAAGCAGCACTTTTTAACACATGTTTGTTTTCTAACATTTCAAGAGTCCTATGATTAATGATTTATTTGACATATGTACACCGAGTACTCCTCCGCTTTGTATTCTCTTATATTTTACATCACATACATATTTTTGTCACTTAATTTCACACCATTAATTATAGAAATACTTAGTATTCAAAGAATGTGCATATGTTTGTATTTTTGTTTCGCTTTAATTTAGTTTTAAATTTAAATATGTAAATTTTATATTTTTTTAATTTCATATTAAATATAGGGTGACACTTACCAACACCGGCTACATGAATTTTCTTCATCCATGGATAGATTATTCTTTCGCCATCTGTTGTTTCAGCCAACATCATATCGTCGTCGCTATCATCATCGCCCAGATCATCATCAAGACCCGGCGAACAAAGTTCATCCGGAGAACGATCCAACATCAAACGATCTTCTTCTAACATATCGTCCTGGAAATAAAGTAGCAAGTTTTTAATTATCCGATTTTTTCGAATTTTTTATTGTATATCGTACATTTTCCGAGCCATCATCATCGCAACGTAAACGCATACCCAATTCTTGTAATTGTTGTCCAGCAGGTACGGCTTCTTCGATGCGTTTTTCCAATTTTAAACCTAAATGAAATGAAAAACCACAAAACAAAAAGATGTTAATAGTTGAATAAAAAAATTGAATTGTTGTTGCCAATAATGTACCCATGATGACAATTTTCCCAAAACTTTTTAATGTACTACAATTTTTTTTTTTAATTTGATATAAAGTTATGAATTTTTGTGACTATTATTTTTCTCTCACAAATTTCGTGAAAAAGGGGCCTATTAATTGGAATTCATTATATTAAATATTGTAGTTTTAAAAATTTTATTTTATACATTTTCTGTATTTCTCTAAAAATTGATCAATAAGTGACGTTATACTCCTATATAGTTATGTCTAAAATGAAATCTATTATCACTTTTTGGTTTGAGTAAAGTTTCTTTAGTGAAATATTCATTAAAATGTGTGAAAATATGAATAGATTTAATTAATTCATTCCATATTTGAATCTATTTTGTGTTTTTGCAACAAGCCAAATTTCGATAAAAACAGGTTTAGGATAAAGGGATTTTTTCCAAAAGAGTCCAGTACATACACAAGGGTCGTGTGCTTTACAAGTACTTTGAAAGTAATGGGTTATATCTTAACAAATTACAAACAAAATAACTTTTTCTTTCTCACTACCAGGTAATGAGTAACGACAGCACAGAGTGTACGTGTGAGTTCGAAACTAGGAAATATAATGATTTCTTGATGTAGAGCTTCAAATAACCCAAAATGTTTGTAACGGTGGCGTATTGCGAGTTTCTAAATAAAATAAGTAGCAGTTTTTCTATTTAATTGTCGACATTTAGTAAGAAATATTTGTATCGACTGCAAAAATAACTTGTACTTGTAAGTATATAGGATAACTTGTAAGTATCTACGATTAGAAAAAAATGTACTCATAATTATATTATGATGGGTGTTTAAGTGAAGCCTATTCGATTGGAGAATCACCGGCATCAGTACAGGGTGAGATGAAAAACTGCAACATACTTCAGACTGCTGTCATTTCTAAGCCACTCGTCCGGCAGCTGTTAAAATTATTTCAGTGACAGCTCATTATATTGTTTACAAACGTACAAAAGCATGTTGGTGAGAATTTCCAGAAAAAAAGTTATTCGTGATGGAATTCAAGCGTGATAGTGTGATTTCTTTATATTCGGCTGGAAAGCCACAAGTGGCTATCGTTAGAGCACTCCAGCATTTATATAGGAATAAATATTTTGTGTCTCGTAACATCGCTCGTTAGGGTAGCCCGACGTCAAGGAAAAATGGCTCGTTAGCTGAACATATCGCAATATTTCATTCGGCAAATATTGAAAAATGAGCTCGGGGTAAAGCTATGAAATTCCAAAAAGTGCAAGAACTTACACTGCAACAGAAAAAAATAGACTCAAAAGAGCCAAAGAGTTGCTTTGCTTGGCCGAAAGTGGTGAACTGCCGAATTTGGTTTACTCCAATGAGAAAACATTCGTTGTCCAGCAGTTTGTAAACAAACAAAATGATCGTGTTTTCTTGCCAAATAAGTCAGCTGAAAATGTGCACCTTCGGTTGGCCACCTGAAATCAAGCACCGATCATGGTGATGGTCGCCATAACAGCCGATGATAGCTCTCCGCTCGTATTAATCGACCGTGGCATCAGAATAAATGGCGAAAATATTCTGGAGGGTGCATTAAGGCCTGGAGGGTGCATTTTGTCCGCAGATCTTAGACATTCCAACAGGACTCAGCACCACCGACATTTTATGCTTTCATTCAATAAAATTAAAAAAAAAAATGTAAAAATTATGGCGTTTGACTTTGTTGCAGTTTTTTTATTTCTCCCTGTATATTATCATACAATTCCAGGAAAATGTCTCTGTTGATTGGAGCAGTGTACCGTTTCATAAATGTCCACGCTTCACGATATATTTGCCTTTGTTTATCTAGATTTAAAAGGAAATAAGACTATGACAGTACGCTGTGTTCGAACACTTGAAATTGGAAGCACTTTTTAATGGGAACTTGTCCACCATGGTTATAGAATTCTTTTTGTGTAGGTTTTTAAAATTTTTATTTTATTGCATTAAATTTTTAATTTTTCATACAATACATAAATTTATATCCCTAAGAGTAGGAGTGGACAGTATAAGTTATTACATTACTTATTTACTAAAATAGAGTCGTTATCATCACACTTCTACAAGTGATACTATGAAACGTTCACTTACTGGAGTGTTGACAAAATATAATTCTTGAAATGCTGAGCGCTTTGCACTTTAAATGTTTCAACTCGTATTAATAACATATCTTCAGGGACTGTCGTATTTTTAATAAGAGATTTAGGTTTCCGTAAAACATTTAAAGTGAATTTTGTGCAAAATCACATTTTTCTGACAATAAAAAAATTTATTTTGCCATAAGTTTAAAACTGTTTACATATAGTCATGAAACCAGGCGAAAATTTTATCGAAACAATTCTTCAGTAGGGGAACTCTGTAACTCATTTTCTTCGTTACCGAAAAAATCGGTAAAACTGATATGTTTATAATTTCGGAATGAAAGAAGTCGACAAAATCTACCGATAGATACCAATGTTTCCAACTTTTATTTCTTTTTCATATCAAAATTTTGCGTAGGTGGTAGGTGATTTTGGCACAGGGTATTATGTCTTTGAGCATATAACATGCAAAAGGAAGCGAGATGGACCTAAAGTTCCATTTTGGTCTTCTTCTAGTCGTAATGTAATTGTGAATGATGAGAAAAATGCAAGTGTTGAATTACATGATCACATCTGATCAAAGTCTGAAGTTTAGTCCAACTCGTCGGACCGAGGTAGATCCGAATTCTGAGTTTTTTGTCGGATGGATTTTTTTCTTTTTGCTGAGTTATCTTCTGCTTATGTGGTAACATATTACAAAAAAATGAATTTTATACACATTCAATTTTCAATTACTTTTGTCATTACATTATGACAGTTGTTGTTACATCAGAACTTCACTGTTACTCTTAGATACTGTTACAAAGTCGGCAAAAAATTAGATATGCGCACGATTTTACCTCCGAGTTTGGTCCAAGATCGGTCCGGCAACTCTAATTTTCCTTCCGAATTTCTAATGGATACCCTTGCGAATTCGGCCCGACTTCAGTTCTAATGTGGGCTAAAACTTCGGACTTTCATCCGACCCTTCGGTTCGACAACACATCAACCACTCCATATAACTTTCGATCAAAGTCGGACCGAATATGCATCCGAAATCGGAAGTTTCATCCGACTTTCGATTCGAAGTCGGACCGAACTCGGACTGTTTGGTTCTCTCTCAGCACAATGCACTTATAGCGCATTTATACTATTGAATCTAATAAACCCAGTAGGTTAATAGTGTGTGTTGAGATACATCCTTAGGAGGATCTAAATTCGGTTCAACTTATGCTTGTTTACGTACAGGGTGAGATGAAAAAACTGCAATCAACTTCAAACTAATGTCATTTCTAAGCCACTCGTCCGACAGCTGTTAAAATTATTCCAATGACAGCTCATTATATTGTTTACAAGCGTACAAAAGCATTTTGATGAGAATTTTAAAGAAAAAATATATTCGTGATGGAATTCAAGCGTGATGATTTCTTTATATTTGTCTGAAAACCACAAGTGGCTATCGTTAGAACACTGCAGCATTTAAATGTGAATAAATCTTTTGTGTCTCGTACCAGCGCTCGTTGCCGTGATACCGGTAGGGTTGTCCGACGTCAAGGAAGTGGACGCAAGAAAACAGCATCATCAGCAGAAATGGTTCGAATAGTAAAGAAGCGACTTGATCGAAACCCGCGTTGCAGCGGCCGAAAAATGGCTAGTGAGCTGAACATATCGCAATATTCTATTCGTCAAATATTAAGAAATGAGCTTGGGGTAAAGCCATTGAAAATCCAAAAAGTGCCTGAACTTACACTGCAACGGAAAGAAAATAGACTTAGAACAGCTAAAGGGTTGTTCTGCTTGGCCGAAAGTGGTGAACTGCCGAATTTGTTTTTGTTTGTTCGTTGTCCAGCAGTTTGTAAACAAACAAAATGATCGTATTTTCTTGCCAAAGAGGTCAGCTGAAAATGTGCACCTTCGGTTGGCCACCAAAACTCAAGCGCCGGCCATTGCGATGGTGTGGGCCGCCATAACAGCTAATAGTCGCTCTCTGCTCGTATTAATCGACCGTGGCATCAGAATAAATGCCGAATATTGTCGCTAAAATATCGTGGAGGGTATAAGCCTTGGGCACGTAAGCATTTTGGCTGCAGACCTTGGAACTTCCAACAGGACTCAGCATCATCGCACTAAGCACGCGCCACCCATGAATGGTCACAAAATGAGGTTCCTCGCTTCATTTCCAACGCACAATGGCCAAATCTCCGAATGCCAATCCGTTGGACTATTGTGTCTGGAGTGTTTTGGAAAGCAAGGTTGGCACTATAAAATACCAAAGTGTCGATCACCTAAATCAAGCGCTTCGCCGGAATGGGTCAAAATACCGCAGTGTAACATTCGGGCAGCGTGTGACCGTTTGAAGGCAATAATTCGTGCCAAAGGTGGCCAATTCGAACAAATCTAAAATTCTATGCTAAAATTTGATGCTATTTCCGACATTGTTTGCTTTCATTCAATAAAAATGAAAAAAAAAATGTAAAAATTATGGCATTTGATTTTGTTGCCGTTTTTTATCTCACCCTGTACATTGTGCAAAAATCATTATTATTTGGATCCATATCTAAAAAAAATATATATATATATGCAAATTTGCTTCTGAAGGAGAAGAATCATGTTCCAATCTTATTGGAACAGCTCTGAAAAACAAAACTCCTTTATTCATTTTTTTGTTACAGGAAATTTCAACCAAAAGTTTAGACCCCAAAGAACTTCAAAGATCCGAATAGACAAACTTAATTCTATACATTAACTTGAAGAGAAAAATAAATAATATATGCTCTCTTCCAGAACCCGCAAGATTGTTCTCGACATCATAAAGGGAAAGTCGGTTATCGTAGTAAAAATGTTTACATTAATATACTCTATAATAATATACTCTACATTCGTTTTGAGAATCATGGAAATACATCCTTTTGCGGTTAATTGTTTAAGACACAAATATCAAAAATCAATATTCATGTTTTTTCAAAAGGTAATTTAAATATTTGTCCAAAGTCTGCTTACCTAACTCTTGTAATCCCAGCGCTGTATTACTGGGCGGTTCGGTTGAAGAACATTGCAGGGGCATATCCATCATCTGGGAATGTGGCGAATGACCTTGAGAATGGGTACTACCCACACTGCCATTTGTACCATAATAACTATTGTAGTAACCACTTGAGGTAATTGTAGTGCCACCATTGCCAGCTCCTCCACTGGGAGATGTAATGGCAGGTGCATAGAGATTCGATGAGCCCAATGACGTAACCGACGGATCAGAGTGTAGTCCACCGGCGGATGTTAAATAGTCCGGGGTATGATGGACACCGACTGCCGCAGCAGCCGCCGCTGCATGGTGACCATAATAACCAAGATTTTGATGATGACCATGATGCGGGTGCGGATGATGTGTTGTGGGTGCTGTTGAGGCATAATTGGAATAGGCAGAATTTTGATGATGACCCGTTAGACCATTGTTTGTATGGGCATGGGAATGTGGCGGCGGATGATGTGGATGAGTGCTGGCGGCATGGTGATGAGCCGCCGCAGCCATATAATCACTGACCATATCCGCCGGGTGGGTGGCATGGGGATGTGTCGGAGGCATACAGACCGCACCACCATTACCCGGAACCATATGTCCAGTTGAAGCAGTCATCGAATAATGGCTATTGTATTGGTGATAATCATCGGCAACCGGAGGGAATTTCGGATCTAATCCATTGTTCATGCCCATGGAACTTTGGACATGATGTGGTGCATGAGGATGGTAGCCCATTATAAAAGAACTCATCTTGAAGATGCGATGCAATTAAAACACTTGGGTGAATTTTTAATTTTTTCTATTTTCAAAATCTTTGTAGCACTTAATTTTATTTGGTCGCGATATTAAATTTTAAGAATTCCTTTTTATTTTTGTTACATTAATTATGCTTTAAACAAAAACTTGTTTTCAATGATTTGCACTTTTGTGTTGTATTTTTTCTTTTATTTTATTTTCTATATTTATTAAATAAGTATTTTGCTTTTATAACACTATCACTGCAGGAGGTATTCGGTTGTTTTGTTAAATCATACAATACTTGTATAATTATTTATCATTTGTTTGATTATTTTAAATATTTGTTTTCATTTTCAATTTTTTGTTGCACATTCAGAATTTGTTGTTTGTTTTCCTTTTTCTAGAAATATTTCCATGACATTGTGATGAGTTTGCAATTTTTCGGAGCGGAGAAAAATCTAAATCATATGTTTTATAACATTTCACAGATTTAGAAGCTTGGATCACAAGCTTTTTTCATTTATAACCGGCGCTATACCAGGTAAAAAACAATGCCCTTAGACAGACATACAAAAACAAGAAAACAAATAACGTTGGCAGTTGTAGAGAAAACAACGACGTTTGATTGAATCAATCAGACAATCCGTCCGTACCGTTCGTGACGAGACGTTCTTTTGTTATAAACAAACGCCAGAAAAACGCCAGCAAACGAACCTGTTCGATTAGTACGCATTCGCAAAGATACACGCTCACTGTTGATTGCAGAGATACTGACAACGGCAAGCAGTAAGCCGTACTCATTCAGTGCTCACTGGCTTTGTGATGGCAGCAAACCTACACACAACACAACATAGAGCAAACATGCATTGCCCGGCTGAACCAACCATCTCCGAAGTTAATAATTCGTCTCTCAAGAAAATACCAAACAAAAACAACAACCCCAAAGAACGCACACACACAGCACACAATCGACGAAACATGATTTACTGGTTTTCAATAGCAACAAAAACATTTGAGTGTTCGTTCCGTTCATCATACACGACATGCTTAATGTTCCAGCGCCTATTTAGTCCAGCCCATCGCTACACAGCACTCACACATCGCTACTAGAGGCCATAATTGAGCTTCATACCATGTTGATTTTCACACCGTGTGTAGACAAAAGCGAAACACCACCATGTTTTTTTTGTGGGATTGATACAATATGGGATGTTTGTTGAAAAGAGATGACTGTACGAAAAAAATGGGATAGCTAGCTATACAAGTAAAACACACCCCTGTAAATATGTATCAAGAGAGTATAAGTGAACGCTTTAATCTCTTACAATAATACAGTGCAATGGAATTTATGGAGACACCCGAATACATTTTGTATCGTGGTGTAATATTGACTTTTCAGTGCAACATAGGCAAAGATTTCAAAATAATTGCGGAACATAAGCATATGCGTATGTAAATTATTTAGATCGAAACCTTTTTGATCAAGCAATATACATTTTTCGACATTTTTGACTAAAACTAAACATTTGAAACAAAAACTAGTCTCTACATCCAAGGGGATTTGAGGTTAGGTTCATTTTTTGATTAAAAATCTCTCAAATGGCATAAAATATATTAGTATTGCGTATTTTTAAACTTTTAATTGTAGAACAGTTTTGGCATGTTTGTTCAAGATATCATAGTATTTTGTTGTTGCAAAATAGTCAGGCTTAATCCCATTATTGTTGTTTTTATAAAAACAACGATTGATTATTAGTGGAGAAAGAGGGTAATGTTTACCAGTTCCCTTGTTTTTTGTCTGAGATATTCTCCCAGGAGTTGTTTTAAAAATGGATCCTATGATAAAAATAGAAGAGGAACCAAAGAATTACATTAAAATAAGATTATTTACGAAAATCTTCTAAATCTTTGAATTCAATTTCAGCAAAATCAAGTGCACAATAATATGAAATTTAGAAAAATCCATAACATCCCTAATAAAAAACACCAAAATTTTTCAATGTAATTTAAATAAAATTTAAAAGGTGTTAAGAAGGAAGGTCTTTTCAAGAAAATCAGTTGCGAGAAAAAAATCTATCTATAAAATAGATAAAAGAAATTTATGTTATTTACTACGCTTTTAACTCAAGAACCTGGTGATTTTAACGATTCAGACAAATTTGAAATCGTTTCTTCGCAGAAAAAGATAAAATCCAAGAAAATTACGTAAAAATACGCCAATAACCCGTATGGTGTTCCTATCAAAACTTGGACCTACTTCTTTCATATGACAATGATTCATTCATAGAGAACTCAAAATGCGAAATTCATTGGGACTGCAATCAGTGAAATACCGAATATGAAGAGGCACCGTAATAGGCGAACTACACAAAAAAGTAGACCGAATTGAAAAATTTCGAATTCCGAACACTTAAAGATACCTTAAATCGCAGGTAGCGTTATACGCTATCGTGAGTAATTACACTGTGCAATAGACAATCTTGGGATTGGAAAATTCTAAGTGAATAGTATTTGGTTAGTAGATTACGATCCCAAAAAATCCTGGGCCCAACTTTTTTAGGGCCCATTATTTATATCCTTAACCATACACAAATGGCCTCAAATATCTATCTAGCTCTATACTCCCCTAAAATTCGGGTTTAAATTTGATAAAGTCCTATGGGTTACATGTACAAAATATGGGACTTGTCAGTCTACGTTTTGATATAGTCCCCATATATGGATATTTCACGTATTTTCTCAAGTTTTTTAATTTGAGAATTTATAAAGACGAAAATAACCTTTTCTGAAAATATTATAAGTATTGGCTCACTTTTTGGTATAATCGTCATACGATGGTATCCCATGACTTCCGCTATTTCCGGGGTCTTGACCACATTTTTCCAATTATTTGGAATTTTAGCTTCTAAGGTGGTAGAAGGCCTATTCGAGGAAAATTTGCAATGTCAAAGTTTCGGAGTAGCGCCCATATAAAGGTACCTCCTGATTTTACCAATTTCGAGGGTCCTGACCAGACTTCCAATTGATTTGGGTAAAAATTGTTTAGGGCTAATTTGGAGTTAGAGAACAATCTTACATGGGACTGTTGTAAACAGTTAATATATACTTTCAAATAAAAATAGTAATCATTTAGTAATCTCAATTTAAAACACTGTAAATCGACCGACAAGTGACCGGACAAAGAATAATAGAAAAAGTGACATAAATAAAATATTTGAGAAGAGGCCACCATATATATTTGCTATAGTTCTACTCAAGATCAAGTATGGTTTGATCAAGATCAAGTCTGAGTTCTGCAGATATCAACATGAAAATTGGAGAAAAAGACACAGTAAAATTTTCACAAATAATAGGAAGGGGTTTTTAGTTCTGCTACTAAGTAAAGGGGAGATATTGTTTGAAGAAGTACAAAATAACTCAAATGTCATTCTTTGTCTTTAAGTTTTACTGAACTTAAATTTGGTTTATTTTGCAGTTTCTTAAACAGGGATATTTTCACTCAATTACTAAATGTAATCCTATTAGGATAATAATGACCGGAAAATGAATACTGTTTTCCTCTGAATTAAAAAAATGGTATTCTAATTTTTTGACCTAATTTTTGACTATAAAAAAATAATCTACATTTGAATCGTTGATATTAAAAATGCTTTTGCGAATTCAAAATCACTATGCGGATCTCGGCACACATATGGGAAGAAGCCTAACTAACTTATCTTGAGAATTAGATGATCAGTACCAGAATTATCTACTCACGTATCCAAAAGATTTTCATTTTAAAAATTCATATTATTCATAATATGAAGCAGATGATGTCTTTCAAACTGGTGTTTACAATCAAGAAAACCATTGTTAATGTTCGTCGATGGAATCTTCGTTTTAACGACCCGGTGAACATATATGTACATCGACCCCTAAAATATATTTTATGGAGGGTCAAATGAGAATGATGACCTAAAATTTATAGTGGGCGTTATTATAAGCCACCGACAGGGTTGTCAGATATGACGATTTCTCGCAAACGTAGCGATTTTTCATTGCGCTTGGCAACTACATTTTAGAATTGACGATATGGCGATTTTTTAGAAGAATTATAGACATTTTTAATTTTGACAGAAAATACTTGCTTTTTAATTTGTAAAACATATGTACAAATCTAATATATTGAAGAAGTTTTAGATAAACTGAGAACTGACTTTGACAAATGCTAAAATATTATCGGGAAATACGAATACTTTTAGGGTCTATGCACATTTTTCAAATATATAATGTGACAGTCAATTATCGCTAACAGGTTAGGTTGGTCGAGAAGACATAAAAAATATGAGCTCAATCAGCCTTCAATTCAAGGGAAAACTACAATATATTAATTGGAATTAATATTTTAGCAATGAAATTCCAAAAAATATTTGATTTTAGGAGCGATGTTTATGATTACAGTAATGTACATACCACTTAAAAAAATCACTAGCTGTTCAATGCTGCCGATTTGCATAAATGCTGCGGTATTTCATTAATGCAGCCTCCTCCTTGAGTCTGACAACGACGTAAACCATCGACTTCAAAAACACACAAAAAATCTTAGGTTTAAACTAAAATTAAAAAAAAAAAAAACACAAAGAAATTAACACTACAGTCAATTCTTTTCAACTTTCCTAGTTTAAATTTGAAAGTACTTTCGTTTTGGCGTTTTTTGGCGAGAATTAACCGAAATGATGGGCCGTTTGTTATGTGAGCTGAACATATCGCAATATTCCATTCGGAAAATATTGAAAAATGAGCTCGGGGTGAAGCCATTTAAATGCCAAAAGTGCAAGAACTTACACCGCAACAGAAAGAAATTAGACTCAAAATAGCTAAAGAGTTGCTTCGCTTGGTCGAAAGTGGTGAACTGCCGAATTTGGATTTCTCCGATGAGAAAACATCTGTTGTCCAGCAGTTTGTAAACAAACAAAGCGATAGTGTTTACTTGCCAAAGAGGTCAGCTGAAAATGTGCACCTTCGGTTGGCCACCAGAACTCAAGCGCCGACCATGGTGATGGTGTGGTCCGCCATAACAGCCGATGGTCGCTCTCCGCTCGTATTAATCGACCGTGGAATCAGAATAAATGTCGAATATTATCGCGAAAATATTCTGGAGGGTGTATTAAAGCCTTGGGCACGCAAACATTTTGGCTGCAGACCTTGGACATTGCAACAGGACTCAGCACCATCTCACTCAGCACGCGCAACCCAAGAATGGTTACAAAATGAGGTTCCTCGCTTCATTTCCAGCGCACAATGGCCATTAAAAATTTAATTGCAGATGAAAGAAATAATCCTGCTTAAACAACATTATTAGGATGGTACAGATGGCGGGATTTGAAAATTGCTCTTTAGGCAATTCCTAAATCTAGTCTATTTCCTTTAGTTGTCACTTATATTTGCTAAAAGTCTCTTGCTATTCCTGTCGCATCTGTGCATATTAAAGTAACATTCTTTGATATAATGGCGCTAGTCCTTACAAAAAATACAGTAATTAGGTTTCTGCAAACAGCTACAACTTCTTGTATTTTTCCCACTTGAACACACGTTCAGTAGCAGACGGAAGGACCAGACACGGTGGGTCAAGGTCAAAAACGACATTTTCTGAAGTGGCATATTTAATTTAAAACTACTTTAAATCTACTGGTCAAACATGGATAGGCGTTAACACTTTCGTACAAAAGTGTTGTAGTGTGCAAAAAATTAAGTGTGTGGGCGTTTGCAATGCTCCATGAAGGTGTTGCATTTTGTAACTATTAACCTTGAGTTTTCTAAATCAATATATTTTA